TCTGCGGGCGGTTCCATGACAGTCCAGGCTGGTGTAGACTGTACGGGCTGTACGGAGTCTAGGGTCAGAGTTCCGTACCGTACTTCAAACGAGGACAGACGGTTCTCCAAGCTGTCGATTGTCTTTTTCATCTTCAAGTTTTCCGCCATGATACCTTCCATTTTCGAACCAATTTGCTGGCCGATGGCCTCCATGCTCTCCCTGGAGTTTGTCTACTCGCTACGGATTTCCAGAAGCAGGTCGTTGATCTTACCAAGGTTATAGGAGTCAGCAGATTCGCTTCTCTTCTTCTGAACTCCCTCCAACCGTGACGTTGGTTTTTTTTTGGGCCATCCGTTGAGAAATCGTACTGGGTGTTCTGCTCTGGGTAGCCATGGTCTACTCACAGCTACGTTCCCTCTCACACTACAAAATTAATGATTGCTATGTTCTTAGAAGCTAGATACAGATAACTGGTTGGCCAGAAAGATCCAAAGTGTGCGAAAAACCGCAGAGCTCGAAAACATGCAACCGACGCGTACAGTAAATGTTACCAAGATCTCAACCCTACAGCCGCCCATTATAATGGAACTCCCTTCAATTTAGACTACGTCTTTGGGAAATCCTCAAATATATTATATAATAATAATAATACAAAAATGTATTATCTACGCATGCATATACGCAAGAGTCACCACCAGCCAATTAGGACATGTGTCAAAGTATTGAACGTTTTCGTTCCCTTCTTGTCAAAATACTACAGGGAATGATGGAAATAAGCTAAAAGACTACAACTATAAGGAAAAGAAGTTCAGAAATATATCACTCCAATTATGTGTAGAAGTGACACGAAAAAATAGATGTGAAGAATCAAGAAAACAGCATGCAAATCCTATAAGTGACAAAACGTAGTGACAAGAAAAAGAGAGAAATATCAAGAGATCAAGGGATCTATTTCGCACATTCACGACGAACAGTGCCAAACAACTGCAAAGACAACACATTCTCCTTCTGAACACAAAGCTCAGGGTCTAACTTACGTATGTACAAAGCTTCCAACACGGCAAGATGTAACAAGAACCTACCACGCGACAAAACAGAGAATACATCATCGGAATACCACTCACGACAAGCTAGCCCTGTACCTTACCCACGTGGGAACTGGGCAATGGTGGGGCACATGATTCATAATTGTGTCTTACCAGCTGGAGACTTGCTGTGAGGTCCCTCACGGCGTTCTGGAGGCCGGCAACTGCGATCTTGAGAGCTGCGATGTCGTCTGGTGAAGCCTGCGCCTCCGAGCAGGCTTGCACAGGGGCTGATCCTCCACCACAGTTCCTGTCGAACCCGGCTTTACGGAGAGCAGCTACAAGCTCGACACTTCCTAGTCCCTTTTCATACACTCCGCAGGATTTGGCAATTTTTACAAGCCCGTCCTGGGTTACAATTGCTAAATCAAATATACGGCTGGGTCCTTCTGCCTCATCTGGCATGGTACTGGGGCCTCTGACATCCTAAGGGACGGTCAGACGGTGCTCAGGGGCACAAACATGCGCCCACATGACCTACACGCGCTACAGTACTAGAGGACTGAACACACGCCACCCACAGCCCGTCACCGGCGAAGATACAGATACCAGGTACTACTACTAGGTGTGAGCGCCTGGGCCGCCAGGGCCAGGAAGCAACGGCAAGGTTGCGTGCAGAGCGCGGCACATGAGCCAATCCAAGGCAGTCCGGCAGAACGTAGTTGGTATGGCAACTAGCGTCTCCGAAGTACGAGGCTGGTGAGGAACGATACACACAGACACCCAGGTTCAACAAACGAGAAGGGGCATCCGAAAAACTGCAATGGCGAACCGGCAGAACGATGAATAACCTGGGTCTCAGGAATAGCAGGGCAGGATGGATCACTACCGATAAAACCACTGCAGCGGACTCAAAAGGTCAACTTGAAGGTACAGTCGACCTACCCTTATAACGATAACCTCTATAACGATATTACCCTTATAACGATATTTTTCTGTCAAACCAAATCACTCCATTGACTTTTGTATACATTGCCTTACCATTTAATGGTAAGGCAATGGTCTACTAGGTGCAAAGCTGCCTAGCGCCTGTAGCAACCGCCGTTGCTACAGCTCATCCCGTACATACTCCAAGTGCATGCAAGCACGCGAGCATTTTACAGCTACATGTACGTAGATCTACGTGTACAAATGACCAGCCAACTGGACTAAAAAGTGCTCAAAATAAAACAATCGGTTGTCCCACTTTGGGAACAAAATCGGTCGGTTTGTCGGACAGGCGATCAAAAATCGGACGATTTCCGAAAAATCGGAGCAAGTGGCAGCCCTGCCATTAGAACAACATTGCTATAACGATATTACCCCTATAACGGTATAAAATGGGCTGACCACTTGGCATTTTTCCATTTTATAACGATTTCTAGCAGGGAATATGTGGAGGCCACTATCCAGGTAGGGCAAGTTTCGCTTGATTAGTCGCTGGGACATGACAAAATGCAATGGGGGCACCAGTGATGCCTTGCTGTGTACATAATATGCGTAGAACATACTTGTACGCAAGTTTTTACGCTCTGAAGAGTGTAGAAATGAACACAAATCATGCATTATGACGTACATGTATGAAATGAACCAGTACCCTTCGAACAATATTACCCTTTATATATATAACAATATCTCTTGGTCTGACGCAAATATGGTTATAAGGGTAGGTCGACTGTAATAACGCAAGCTACATGCCAGTAGAATGAATCTATAGGATGGAAAATTTCAAATCTAGGGAGAGGCAAAACTGCATCCGCTCAGTACAGGTACAAGCATGAACATGTACTAGTAGTGTTACTACTTTGCACTTCCCCAGGCCAGCGCTAGCCTTTTTAGAAGCAGATGTACTGTGATTTGTGCCTTTAGTTGTATTCGAAAGTGAAAATACAGGACTTCTGCAGAGGAAAGTACTGATCCCTGACAATTTTGGCTGCTTTTCGGACGTATCCTTTTCGGACCGGTTTTCAGAAGTGCCTTCAATAATCGGACACTGCCCGAAAAATCAGAAGGTTTGGCAGCACTGCACTCATTACATTAGGGTTTGCTGGGTTCCTCCTCAGGGACGATCTTTCTCATGTCCGAGTAGATTACCCTGTCCATTCATCGAGACTGTATGGCAGTTTTCCTGGAATGCAGAAAGAACAACTCAAGTGCCATTGGGCAGGTGAGCGTGTGAACAGCGGACATGTGATCATATTGTATATTCTTGGTCCGCGTCAGCAATATTGTCGCTTATCTTTCGATAATTTGAACTTAGACTTTGGACATCAACGCGAGCACTTGAGACGATAAAACTTGGTATGATGGAAGGTATGGTAAAGAATGACAACTGACCATGAGGAGTTTGTTGTCGAAGGAAGGGTTCTTACTTTTTTTGGTATTCTTCGTCGCTGCTCTCGGTGCTGGTGACAAGTATTTTTTGCTCAGGATGGACAGTCTCGCTTTCGCAGGCTCATCTCTCTTCCTCTCCGCTGCCTGGCACCAGCCCGTTTTGCTGAAAAGAAAAACAAATCTTGCTTGCCCTGTTGTGCTCTTCCAGACAACGGATCGTGCTTCAGCAGTGTTTCCTTTCCCACCATCCCTCCCTATCCAACTTATTCACACCATCATTATAATTATCGTACCCACTAATCGGGTCCACTCTCACAACTGGTGATATCTAGCTATTTGCTGCGGCTCTGCCTTGCGCGATATTACATCCATTTAGCATTGCAGCTCTACGTTGAGCTAACAGCAGCTCTACTTTGAGCTAACAGCAGCTCTATATTGAGCTAACCGTAGCTCTACTTTGAGCTAACAGCAGCTCTACTTTGAGCTAACAGCAGCTCTACCTTGAGCTAACAGCAGCTCTACTTTGAGCTAATCGCAGCTCTACTTTGAGCTACCAGCAGCTCTACTTTTAGCTAACCGCAGCTCTACTTTGAGCTAACAGCAGCTCTACTTTGAGCTAACCGCAGCTCTACTTTGAGCTAACACCTGCTCTGCTCTGAGCTAACAGCAGCTCTACTTTGAGCTTCAAACCAGTTGTTTTGAAACCAGCACTCCTCAATCCAAAGATGCCTCTTTGTTGACTTGTTTGTGTGAGGGATGGGGCTAAAGGGAAGTCGATCGCGACGGTCGCCTTCTCTATAGGAAGTTTGCGTGGGCAGCACGACTGCCTGTGTGGTTCATATCAGTCGCCGCTCTTTGCAAGATTTATTTTGAACGACGATGACGCGTACAGTACTTGCAAATCTCCACGATACGTTGGATACGCGTTGAGCTGGAGGTGAGGGAACTGCGATCTCAGATTTGCGAGCGATCCCGCAGGTGAGCGATCTCGGCCGTTTTGCAAAATGGAACTGATTCCGAGTAGCCGACTACTTTCTTGTGCGTCGCGCTGCTCTTGCCTGCGCAGTGTGACAAGAAAATTTATTTTGATGCGGCGCTGTATCAATCTGAATCACCCACCCGTCGCTTTCGAAATCCACTCGAAATCTAGCTAGACCTTTCAGGTACTAGTTAACTAACTTACGTCACATCATTGTTGAGCGAGCGCTGTGGAACAGTGCTTGCGCAAGAAGATTGTCCTTCTTTTTGTCTTGCTTGTCAAGAGCCCACCCACCCGCCCCATGTATTTACTTTGTTCTGAATGCGGTGGTTTCTTTGCTGTATTTTTCTGCACTGCTGATTTTATAAGTTCTATTTGCTTATTTTTTTATCTGGGTGGTTATTCTGCAGTTGCTGTATCATTTGCCTCCATTCTGGCAACCCTGTTTTTCCCTTGAAACAAGGCAATGTGGCTGTCCGCAGCCGACCCTGCACTGTGGTTTTTGCTGTTTCAAATGTGAGGTGTGCGAGAAAACACAAACTCCAGACAGTAGCGTGAGTCAGTATCACCCATGCGCTGATGACCATGTCTGATAAAGCTTCTCATAAAAACTGTATGGAATTGTGTTGTTGTTCTAACAGGGATATTTTGTGAAGATCCTGGTCAACCTACTAATGGTCGATATACACACAACGGATTTGAGTTTGGAAAGACTGTAAGATACACTTGTAAAACAGGTTATGAGATGCCACAAGGTACACTCACAGTGACATGTATAGGAACTGGACAATGGTCTCAAGCCAAGCCTACATGCCAACGTAAGTGTTATCAGTATGGTATACACACATTCATACACTGTACACTGAACATACATACACTGTACACTGAACATACATACACACATTCATACACTGTGCATGTACAGTTGTGGCAAGTGAAATCCGACAATTGCCATAGGGGACCGCGCCGAAAATCGACACCAATGATGTAATGCACTGCACCTAAGTTGTACAATAGAGCCGTATGCATCTCAAACAGATCGAAAGGTCACAGCGTAGATACACACAGTTCACAAACATGGTACACATAAGGAGTATTGGTGTCCAATCCTCATTCATTTTTCAATTTTGTCAGCACCTTTTGAACCTTGACTGTGAACCTTGACTGTGATGAGTACAAGTTTTGTCATCAGAGAGATGAAGTTGTATGTAAATGCAACGCAGTGTACTACGTATGCAGGGCTGCAGGGACTGCAGACTGCATAGTCCAGTCCCTTATGCCAAGTGTCGGATTTCACTTGCCACCCTGCCCACGGTTCTTCCAAGCACCTAGGTGACAGCATTGAACTGTCTCTTTCCCATCGCTGCCATGCGCCAGGCTGAGAAAGCAAGAGATACTCTACGCCACCAGCTAGACACACAAGCAGCCAGCTCAAGTAACCGCAGCTCGAGTGATGCAGAGTCGATTGAACTCTGGGCCTGTAAAAGCGTGGGTGCAAGAACGCGCTCCATCACAGTTTTAATTTTGTACATTTGCTTGTCACCTTACTTCCTTTCTTTGACTCGCTACACCAGATTCCGTTACGGATTTCTATCTCGTATAGCGTAGAAGTTTGACCCTGATGATGTGCCAGACGAGACAATTTGGTGAAATGTGAAGATATTCGTAGCTAAGATACCGTTTTGGGTGTTGGAGAAAAGAAACGTTTATGGTGTGCAGGCCATGCAATAAGAAATCAGGGTTGCTCTGACAAAATTTCTTGACACTTCAATTGGTCGGACATACCCGGACATACCATTTTGCCATACTTGTCTTTGAAAGCCAACGTTTTCAATTTTCTCCCTCAACGAGGAAGGACTCCAAGATGTTATTGGACCAACAAATCTTCTCGGCGAACCGCACACAAAGCTTCCATCTAAGCACTTCACCCCGGCGCGATCGTCTTTGTATCTCTCATACTCCAACCAAATGGATGTCGAAAGGTCCTTGTCTCACTCAGCAGTCCACTTGTCACAAGTGGCCACTCGCACAGCACGGAGCTTCTTGCCTGAAAATGCGCACTCTAATTCCAACATTACTTTGGTTCTACTTGACCGATTTTGATGATCTTGGGCTCATTGGAAAGCTCTTGATGAGAGAAGTACAATGAGCCCAAACTCGCCAAGAGGACAACTCATTGTCCACCACAACGCGCTCCAAACGGGAGTCCAGGTCCTGATCTGAGACGAAATTGGTCTCCTTCAATCAGGCATTTCACTGAATTTAGCTCGGAACTACTCAATTTTTTTGCGAGTGGAAGCTTTACCTTTCAATGAATACGCATGACCGTGCTGCTCTCGTTCCTGCCAGCACTGCTGCCTGTCCTAAATCACAAGAAAAATCTGCTGACTCGACTCGCAGCACGCAGCCTAGAGAATTCAAAGTGTTTGATCGATCGCCGCTCACTCAAACTTCGTCAGAGAGACTTCGGACCTGTTCGAGGCGATAGCGGAGAGCTTTCTCTACCACTTAGATCTATCGATTGTTGAATTTGATCAAGATTTGGCGGAGTAACAAAAAATTGACAGCGCCTGCGTGCATACAAATGCCCATGGAGTATTTTTTCGTATCGGTTCGATCGGACACTTTGTCCGTCAACCGGATATTTCGCCCGGACAACGACCAAAAACAGTGGGAAAATGTCCGATGTCCGACTGTTATTTCATGCCCTGGTGTGCATGTGGGAGCGTTTTTGACACTCACTCAGTGTCATTCGTGCTTCCACTTCGTGATTTCCCAATATTATAGTGATGTTTCAAACCTCTCTTTTTGTGATTGTGGTTGCTGAAGAATATGGAGTTCAAAATCTTGAACACGCAAATTTTTAGTGCTTTGGGGTTTCGTCTGGGTAACCTTGTGTGTATTAAAAATTGTGTTGAATGTTTAACAGGTATTAGCTGTCCACAACTCGATTCACTTGCCAATGGTGAATCCAGACGTACAGGTGTGAGATACCAGGATACAGTAACTTATGAATGTAGTACAGGATATTTCATGGTGGGTCATCCAACTGGTACTCTGACAGCAACGTGTATGGAAACCAAGGCATGGTCTCAGCCTAAACCCGAGTGTCAACGTAAGTGACTCCACTTGGAACCGCTAGATGTCTCAAAGTCAACCTCATAATACTACCACATGGAGCTGCCAGAAGACTCTGAGTGGAAAAGCAACCTGAGGGGGAGGGGGGGGGGTGTTACGAGTGAAAAAATCGTTTTGCAAGCTGTCTGGCTGCTTGCATGTGTTAGCATAATAACACTCGTGTGCAGATCTGCTCAATGAAATCCTGACGCGTGAGTTCAATTTACACCCTGCACTAATTCACATCCAAATGTTAACAGGTGGAGGGCTGCACATTGCCCGGCGTTGCATTGACTGGCTTGATCGGATTTCATGAAGCAGTACTGTATTTACACTCGGTAATAGGCTTTCATGATATCACTGGAAACACACTTGATCCTACATAGTAAAATGTCACTAAGCCATGCAAAGAGTAAGTTTACAACAGTTAACATAAGAATGATAATAGTTTGAAAAGGACTGTGTTGTTGTCCTAACAGGTATATTTTGTGTAGATCCTGGTCGACCTACTAATGGTCAATATGTACGAAACGGAGTTGAGTATGGAAAGACAATAAGATACACTTGTAAGACAGGTTATAAGATGGAGAACATACCAAGTGGTACACTCACAGTGACATGTGTAGGAACTGGACAATGGTCTCAAGCCAAACCTACATGTCAACGTAAGTGATAATGTTATGGATTGCATGCATGTTATGTGCAACGTCACAGTCCTAGATTACATGCATGCTATGTGTGACGTCATTATCAGATTATCTTAGCTACTGTTACCATGCGCGTAGTTACTGTTGCCATGCGCGTAGTTACTGTTGCTATGCAGCACTCTCTGTATCTAGAGTTTGCGCATGTGTGTAATGTGCTTCTCCTTGGATCCATCTTGGCTTCCTGTGCTGCATGTCTTTCCTCTCTGGTTTTACCTTTACTTCCATGTTCCCTTTCAATGCAATGTATTTCTAAACTCTCCGATCCGTGTGTATCAGTGGAACTGTGTATGAGTAATGTGCGGGCTGAATGCGAACCACAACAATTGGCGACGAAGATAAACTGCAGGCCGCGATTTAAGTTGAACGATGGATGATTCCGGAGATGAAAAGCCATTGAAGCGTCTCGATGTCACCGGTCCTGCCCATGTCGTGGCAGAGCGCTGGCGGAAATGGAAGAGATCTTTCTCGTATTATGTCGTAGGGAAGGGCATAACGGACAAGACTCGGGCTAAGGCCTTACTTCTGCATTTCGGCGGAGAAGGAATTCAAGACATATACGATACCTTGGAGTCGTCCATAGACCAAACTGCTGGAGACGCGCTGAAGGCGCTGACAGACGCTTTGGATGGACATTTTGCCGTCACTGCCAACGAGCCCTACGAGCGGCACATTTTCCGACAGATGGCCCGGAAAGAGAAAGAGACTGTGGCCCAGTTCATAACTCGACTCAGGAATCAAGCGAAATTTTGTAATTTCACTGACGAAGAAGACCAAATCCGAGATCAACTGATCCAAGCCATGTCGGACCCGAAGCTGCGCCAGAAACTCCTGGAGGAGAAGAATATCAAACTGAAAGATGCCCTGGTGAAAGCCAGACAGCGGGAACTGGCGACTGTGCAAGCACGGAGCATGGACAGCTCTGCAGAATCGTCCATTCATCAGCAACGATCGTCGTCAGGACATCACGCTAACTCGTCAGGCAGACATCGTCACTCTGGTGCGGGACCACGTGGAGGTGGCACACAGACTCAGTCAGCAACGAGGAATGCTGACTCGGAGTGTTTTTCGTGTGGCCGGAAAGGTCATTTCTCACGTAGCCCTGAGTGTCCAGCACGCGGAAAAAAATGTTCAAACTGTGGGAAAGTTGGACATTTTGCTGTTGTCTGTCGGTCGCAGAGGAAGAAGGACAAGGGAGGACAGCAGCGCAGAGTTCATGATTTGTCTGCTGACGCAGAGCAACAGGACAAGAGCAAGCAGAGCGCCAGTGAACCAGCCAGCAACTCCTACTCGTGCGAAATGTACAATGTCGGCCGAGTGGGTAGTAGCTCAAACAAACCAGTGTTCGTCGATCTGGAGATAAATGGAGATCATCTTCTCATGGAGCTCGACACAGGAGCTGAGCACACCGTCATTCCGGAGAAGCTGTGGCAAGCTAAGTGGTCAGATGTGTCGTTGTGTAAATCGGATAATCGTTTGTGTGCATTTGGTGGAACTGACATTCCTGTTCTTGGTGAAGCCCGTGTTAGTGTGAAGTGTAATGCACAGGTCGTTGAGTGTTCTCTACTCGTTGTAAAAGAGGGCTCTTGTGCACTGCTGGGTAGAGATTGGTTGAGACATATTCGTCTCGATTGGCAAGCCATTTCAGCGTCTTTGCACACAGTCGATCAGCAGCCAGAGTCTGCAGAAGTGTTTGGTGAGTTTTCAGACGTGTTTTCTGACACTCTTGGCTGCATTTCTGAACACATAGCAGAAATTCGTTTGCGAGATGGGGCTGTGCCCCGATGTATCCCTGCACGTCCGGTACCGTATGCGTTACGTACCCAGGTAGATCGTGAACTTGATCGTCTAGAGCGTGAGGGCGTTATTAAGAAGGTGGAGGCTGCAGAGTGGTCTTCACCAGTTGTAGTTGTACGCAAGCGCAATGGAGACATTCGTTTGTGCGCGGATTTCAAAGTATCCATCAACAAACACATTGATCCACAGCAGTACCCCATACCAAATCCCACAGATCTGTTGTCGTCTCTGGGTGGGGGCAGAGTGTTTTCTAAACTGGATTTACGGCAAGCGTACGCGCAGCTGAAGCTCAGCGCGGAAAGCCAGAAGCTATGTGTCATCTCGACACATCGTGGTTTGTATGCGTATACAAGGTTGCCATTTGGTGTCTCCAGTGCCCCGTCGATTTGGCAGCGCGTCATCGAACAAATCGTACAGGGTCTTGATGGTGTATCTGTATATTTCGATGACTTATTGCTGCAGGTTCACGGCGAGATCATGACATCCGCCTGAGGCGAGTTTTAGCCCGTTTCCGGAGGTATGGCATTCGTGTTAGTAGGGAAAAGTGTGTTTTCCTACAGGACAGTGTTCAGTATCTCGGGTATACCGTTTCTAAGAGCGGCATAGCCCCGAACGACGACAAGGTGAGAGCTATCTCTGCTGCTCCACCGCCGCACGATGTCGCTTCGTTACAGTCATTTCTTGGCATGGTAAATTTCTATTGTCGTTTCGTACCGAGCCTGTCTACCATGTTGCATCCTTTGCATTGTCTGCTGAAGAAAGGAACTGTTTGGTTATGGTCGGCTGAGTGCCTGCGTGCTTTCGATAGTGTGAAAGATGCATTGACCTCATCTCCTATCCTAACACATTATCAGAATGACCTGCCTGTCGTGCTAGAAGTTGATGCATCTCCGTACGGAATTGGAGGTTGCCTATTTCACATTGATGAGCAGGGTGAGAAAAAGCCAATCTATTTTGTATCTCGTGCACTCACCGCTTCCGAAAAGAACTACAGCCAAATAGACCGCGAGGGTCTCGCTATTGTGTTCTCTATCAAGCGCCTCCATCAGTTTCTGTATGGTCGTCATTTTGTGTTGCGTACTGACCATAAGCCGTTATTACGTATTCTGGGTGCTAATGTTGGCATTGGTAGCACTGTTGCTGCTCGTTTGCAACGCTGGGCTGTGTTTCTTGCCAGCTATGATTACAGTATTGAGCATGTGAAGGGTACTGACAATGTGACTGCTGACTGTTTGTCTCGTCTACCCCAGCCTTTGTCGGCAGAGCAGGAGTCTGTCCTCATTCATGCTATGAACAAATTTACCGCCGATCCATGTGGTGACATTCCTCTGTCTGCACCAGAGGTCGCCAAGGCAACTCAAGGTGATGAGGTATTGTCGGATGTGATGCGATTTCTCAGATTTGGTTGGCCTCGTGATGTAGCAGAACGTTTCGTACCGTACAGCCGCATTAGGGATGAATTGTCCATTGAACAAGGCTGTTTGCTCTGGAAAAGCCGTGTAATCATTCCAAGTACATTTCGACAAGCTCTCCTGCGGGAATTACATTCTGTGCACCTTGGCGTAAACAGAATGAAGTCAGTTGCCCGCTCATTCTTTTACTGGCCTAAGTTGGACTCTGATATTGCTGATTTGTGTGCATCGTGTGAGCTGTGTCAGCAATTTGCTCGAGCTCCCTCTAAGGAGGCTACACACCCGTGGGTTTACCCCAGCCGAGCTTTTGAGCGTGTGCATATTGATTTTGCCGAATTTGAGCACCGTTTCTTCTTTGTTGTCGTGGATGCCTACTCAAAATGGGTCGAAGTATTTGATATGGGCCGTGATTCCACTACGTCGAAGACAATTTCTTGCTTGATGAAATTGATTTCCCACTTTGGTATCCCAAAGTTTATTGTGAGCGATAATGGGCCTCAGTTCACGTCCCACGAGTTTGCGTCATTCTGTTCACAAAATGGCATCATTCACAAGCTCACGCCTCCCTACCATCCAGCATCTAACGGTCAGGCTGAGCGCATAGTCCAAGAGCTAAAAAAATCGTTGAAGACACGTCCGCCCACTGTCTCGATTGCTGCTCAGTTGTGTCGTTTTTTGTTTGCCTATCGTACTACTCCGCATAGTACCACGCGAGTTTCCCCTGCTGGCTTGGTATTGCGATTCACCCCGACGTCCCGTTTTTCCATGTTGCAGCCATCCTTTGGTGACACGATGCGTCAGCCAACGATGTCTTCTGGTCCGCCGTCTCGTGGTTTTGTTTCCGGCGATCGAGTTTGGTTCCTGAATCCTGTGCCCCGTGGTGGTCCAAAGTGGCTGAAGGGTGTGGTCCTAAAGCGTTTTGGCCCCCTGACCTACTCCGTTGAGTATGATGGTCGACAACGTACTATACACGTTGAGCATTTGCGCGCGTGCCAGTCGGATGGTACTTCTGTTTGTGTCGACACGTTTCCGTCGACTTCTCCACAAGTTCCAGACACGGCTCCTGTGCCTGTGTTGCCTCCGCAGCAGCCATCCTCTCCGGTACAGCCTGTTCCTTCGTCACAACCTACTAGTCCAGTTGCAGTTTCGAGTCCTCAGCCGTCTCTTCCGTCATCTAGTACTGCTGTGCCTAGTCCAGCGTCACCAGCTGCTAGCCCCTGTCCGCCTCTTCGTCGTTCTGGCCGTGAGCGTGCTGCTCCGAAGCGCCTGATTGAAGAGATGTAGACTCTTATCTGTACTGTGCAACTTTGCTGTTTACACTGTTCCTATTCCTTGACTATGTGACGGTTTGCTCTCAGTTTTTCTCGTTTTCTTTACTCTATCGCTTCGGTTTTCCTTGGTCAAATGTGGATACTCCCCATTTCTCATTTTAGGGGGGAGGAGTGTTATGGATTGCATGCATGTTATGTGCAACGTCACAGTCCTAGATTACATGCATGCTATGTGTGACGTCATTATCAGATTATCTTAGCTACTGTTACCATGCGCGTAGTTACTGTTGCCATGCGCGTAGTTACTGTTGCTATGCAGCACTCTCTGTATCTAGAGTGTGCGCATGTGTGTAATGTGCTTCTCCTTGGATCCATCTTGGCTTCCTGTGCTGCATGTCTTTCCTCTCTGGTTTTACCTTTACTTCCATGTTCCCTTTCAATGCAATGTATTTCTAAACTCTCCGATCCGTGTGTATCAGTGGAACTGTGTATGAGTAGTGTGCGGGCTGAATGCGAACCACAACAGATAACCTATTTATTCTTCTTTGGAAATGTGAGGAAGAGCTATTTTACTTACAAATACCATTGGTATGTGGATGACCCTGTCCTAGCATCCTTTCAACCCTATCAAATGCAAAGAGTAAGCTTACAAATTTTAAAATAAGAATGATAATTATTTTGAAAAGGACTGTGTTGTTGTTCATAAAAAAACTGTGTGGAATTGTGTTGTTGTTCTAACAGGGATAATTTGTGAAGATCCTGGTCAACCTACTAATGGTCAATATGCACAGAGAGGATTTGAGTATGGCAAGACTGTAAGATACACTTGTAAAACAGGTTATGAGATGCCACAAGGTACACTCACAGTGACATGTATAGGAACTGGACAATGGTCTCAAGCCAAACCTACATGCCAACGTAAGTGTTATCAGTATGGTATACACACATTCATACACTGTACACTGAACATACATACACTGTACACTGAACATACATACACACATACATACACTGTGCATGTACAGTTGTGGCAAGTGAAATCCGACAATTGCCATAGGGGACCGCGCCGGAAATCGACACCAATGATGTAATGCACTGCACCTAAGTTGTACAATAGAGCCGTATGCATCCCAAACAGATCGAAAGGTCACAGCGTAGATACACACAGTTCACAAACATGGTACACATAAGGAGTATTGGTGTCCAATCCTCATTCATTTTTCAATTTTGCCAGCACCTTTTGAACCTTGACTGTGAACCTTGACTGTGATGAGTACGAGTTTTGTCATCAGAGAGATGAAGTTGTATGTAAATGCAACACAGTGTACTACGTATGCAGGGCTGCAGGGACTGCAGACTGCATGGTCCAGTCCCTTATGTCAAGTGTCGAATTTCACTTGCCACAATTGTACATACATACTCAAATTCATACACTGTACACTGTACATACATACCGTATCATCTCTATTACAAGCGCAGTCTCTTGTAGAAACCCAGTCTCTATTATAAGCGCTCTCCAAGAGGGCTTCCAAGATATACAAGTGCAGTTGAAACACACAGTAGTGACACACAGGTCACCCTGTCCACGGTTCTTCCAAGCAATTAGGTGACAGCATTGAACTGTTCCTTTCCCATCACTGCCATACGCCAGGCTGAGAAAGCAAGAGATACTCTACGCCACCAGCTAGACACACAAGCAGCCAGCTCAAGTAACCGCAGCTCGAGTGATGCAGAGTCGATTGAACTCTGGGCCTGTAAAAGCGTGGGTGCAAGAACGCGCTCCATCACTGTTTTATTTTGTACATTTGCTTGTAACCTTGCTTTCTTTCTTTGACTCGCTACACTAGATTCCGTTACGGATTTCTATCTCGTATAGTGTAGAAGTTTGACCCTGATGATGAGCCAGACGAGACAATTTGGTGAAATGTGAAGATATTCGTAGCTAAGATACCGTTTTGGATTTTGGAGAAAAGAAACGTTTATGGTGTGCAGGCCATGCAATAAGAAATCAGGGTTGCTCTGACAAAATTTCTTGACACTTCAATTGGTCGGACATACCCGGACATACCATTTTGCCATACTTGTCTTTGAAAGCCGACATTTTCAATTTTCTCCCTCAACGAGGAAGGACTCCAAGATGTTTTTGGACCAACAAATCTTCTCGACGAACCGCACACAAAGCTTCCATCTAAGCACTTCACCCCGGCGCGATCGTCTTTGTATCTCTCATACTCCAACCAAATGGATGTCGAAAGGTCCTTGTCTCACTCAGCAGTCCACTTGTCACAAGTGGCCACTCGCACAGCACGGAGCTTCTTGCCTGAAAATGCGCACTCTATTTCCAACATTACTTTGGTTCTACTTGACCGATTTTGATGATCTTGGGCTCATTGGAAAGCTCTTGATGAGAGAAGTACAATGAGCCCAAACTCGCCAAGAGGACAACTCATTGTCCACCACAACGCGCTCCAAACGGGAGTCCAGGTCCTGATCTGAGACGAAATTGGTCTCCTTCAATCAGGCATTTCACTGAATTTAGCTCGGAACTACTCAATTTTTTGCGAGTGGAAGCTTTACCTTTCAATGAATACGCGTGACTGTGCTGCTCTCGTTCCTGCCAGCACTGCTGCCTGTCCTGAATCACAAGAAAAATCTGCTGACTCGACTCGCAGCACGCAGCCTAGAGAATTCAAAGTGTTTGATCGATCGCCGCTCACTCAAACTTCGTCAGAGAGACTTCGGACCTGTTCGAGGCGATAGCGGAGAGCTTTCTCTACCACTTAGATCTATCGATTGTTGAATTTGATCAAGATTTGGCGGAGTAACAAAAAATTGACAGCGCCTGCGTGCATACAAATGCCCATGGAGTATTTTTTCGTATCGGTTCGATCGGACACTTTGTCCGTCAACCGGATATTTCGCCCGGACAACGACCAAAAACAGTGGGAAAATGTCCGATGTCCGACTGTTATTTCATGCCCTGGTGTGCATGTGGGAGCGTTTTTGACACTCACTCAGTGTCATTCGTGCTTCCACTTCGTGATTTCCCATTATTATAGTGATGTTTCAAACCTCTCTTTTTGTGATTGTGGTTGCTGAAGAATATGGAGTTCAAAATCTTGAACACGCAAATTTTTAGTGCTTTGGGGTTTCGTCTGGGTAACCTTGTGTGTATTAAAAATTGTGTTGAATGTTTAACAGGTATTAGCTGTCCACAACTCGATTCACTTGCCAATGGTGAATCCAGACGTACAGGTGTGAGATACCAGGATACAGTAACTTATAAATGTAGTACAGGATATTTCATGGTGGGTCATCCAACTGGTACTCTGACAGCAACGTGTATGGAAACCAAGGCATGGTCTCAGCCTAAACCCGAGTGTCAACGTAAGTGACTCCACTTGGAACCGCTAGATGTCTCAAAGTCAACCTCATAATACTACCACATGGAGCTGCCAGAAGACTCTGAGTGGAAAAGCAACCTGAGGGGGAGGGGGGGGGGGTGTTACGAGTGAAAAAATCGTTTTGCAAGCTGTCTGGCTGCTTGCATGTGTTAGCATAATAACACTCGTGTGCAGATCTGCTCAATGAAATCCTGACGCGTGAGTTCAATTTACACCCTGCACTAATTCACATCCAAATGTTAACAGGTGGAGGGCTGCACATTGCCCGGCGTTGCATTGACTGGCTTGATCGGATTTCATGAAGCAGTACTGTATTTACACTCGGTAATAGGCTTTCATGATATCACTGGAAACACACTTGATCCTACATAGTAAAATGTCACTAAGCCATGCAAAGAGTAAGTTTACAACAGTTAACATAAGAATGATAATAGTTTGAAAAGGACTGTGTTGTTGTCCTAACAGGTATATTTTGTGTAGATCCTGGTCGACCTACTAATGGTCAATATGTACGAAACGGAGTTGAGTATGGAAAGACAATAAGATACACTTGTAAGACAGGTTATAAGATGGAGAACATACCAAGTGGTACACTCACAGTGACATGTGTAGGAACTGGACAATGGTCTCAAGCCAAACCTACATGCCAACGTAAGTGATAACCTATTTATTCTTCTTGGGAAATGTGAGGAAGAGCTATTTTACTTACACGTACCATTGGTATGTGGATGATCCTGGCCTAGCATCCTTTCAACCCAATCAAATGTGGGTAGGCATCGAGGATTCTCAGCAGTGATAGCGTGAATGTTCACATCTGGCTGCGGCCAACAACCCTTCAATTTGGGTGCTGTTGCCATTGCTGTCTATGTCTCTGTGTCTGCCCGAGTATATATGGAGCGAGAATGAATGTGGATCGAGAGTGAATGTTCACGGTGTTAGAACAAGTATCATCACACCTGCCTTCTAATACCTTTGAAAAGTAGGATTTTCCAACGGCAAAGGTCTCAGGTATAAAGAAAATTTCACTTTTGCCTGAGAGCCAAAAAATCACTAGGAATACGCACTTTCAGTGACGCTTCATTTCCAGCGCGACAATCACCTGTGTACGCTTCTCGTTAGCTGAGTATTCGAAAGAGACGAGAAGCAATGTTCTCTCGAACTTCGAAAATTGGCAATGCTTGTTTTTATGTGTACTATTATTTTGTTGTGGCACGTAGTCCAGGTTGACGTCACTGTATGGACGTAATAAATCATTGGTGAGCGAGCGTCGAGCGATGTAGAACAGCGCTTACGCAAGAAGATTACCCTTCTTTTTGTCTTGCTTGTCAAGGGTGCAGTCTGTTTTGTTGCACGTGTCAAACTTTTCCTTTTACTTATTCCGATTTTTGCCATCATGCCGAGAGGTCGTCGTGCTGAAGCTGCGCGGGAGACAGCTGAAACCTCCTCGCAAAATGAGGAAGAGTTGAGGATGCGTCTCCTGGAAAGCCGATTCCTTCGGCAGGAGGAGAGGAAACGGGGCCAGTCGGCCTCCTCTTCCTCGTCGTCGCCGTCGTCGTCCAGCTCGTCGTCGTCGGAGTTGTCGGAGTCGTCTCCGGAGAGGAGGTGTGACAAGAAGCGGAAGAGTAAAAATTGGAGCAAATCAGTGCCTAGTACAATCACGATGCCAGGTATGAAGCGGCTGAGTTATCAGCACCAATTTGAATGTCTTACACAGTCATCTGGCCACCTCCAACCAGCTAAAAAAAGAGTCAAGAAATCCCAAAAGGAGAAGGCTATTAAGGAACTGAAGGGCGCGAGCGAGGTCTTACAGAAGAAGCTGGACTGGCTGGCAGTGGCGGGCCGCCATGGCCATAACACCGCCACAGCGTCCACAGAAAGGGGGGGGGGGGCATGGCTGGCCTCTTGGCCAGTACAGACTAATGCAAACTTCCCCGCCTGGCAATCGAAGCCACAAAATAGGGGAAGAATGGCTCGAAGCCCCAGCAGAAGCCCTTTCGGGCCAGCACTCCCTCACCAGCCGGCAGCTGGAGTGCCGCAACAGCCCGGCCTGCCCCAGCACAACGATTGCCAGCCAATCCATCCACGCCCACAACCCGGCAGTCCACGGCTGTGTGCCATCACTGCGGAGAGATGGCACACATACTGCCTGAAGCTCAGCAAAAGCTAAGTTTGTCGGTGTTGATGATGTTGTTGATGATGGTGACGATGATGACGATGATGTTGATGATGATGTTTGGTGTTTGGAAGAAACAATTTGTTCAGAGTACATGGTTGCCCAGCTTGTGTGTGAGGAAGATAAGGGAGGGGAAGGGCTGAATGACGTAATAGTGGGTGGTCTAACACAACACGTATCATTTTGGGAATGCATTGGTGAATCAAGAATGGTTTTAGCAGTTATCAGAAATGGGTATGTGATTCCATTTTCATCACGTCCCTCCACCAAGATTTTTGCAAGCCCTGAAAGTGCAATCCAACATGCAGGATTTGTAGAAACAGAAGTGGTAAATATGCTTCGTCTGGGTTGTGCAAGGGAAGCAAATGAACCAGTAGTATGTAGCCCCCATTTTGGTGTAGTGGACAATGGGATGAAAACCTAAGATTGATTGTTGACCTTAGAACAAGCACCTTGCATCTTTTCAGTTTAAGCTAGAAGACATCCGAACAGTGCTTGATGTGTACGGGAGGGGAGACTATGTGGTGACCTTTGACTTGAAAAGTGGTTATCACCACATTGAAATCGCCCTTGCTTGCGTATTGGAGACGGCAGGGTATCCGTTGTCAATTTTACATGGACGATGGCACTGGGGTTATGAGTCACACCAAGTGCATTGAAAGTTGTAGCCGCAATGAAAGCTGACTTAGTTCAAGCAGGTTTCACTCCACACCCAACCAAATGCTGTTGGATACCCTCCTGTAAAGTTGAGGTGCTTGGCTTCGAGCTTGATTTTGAGCACGGTGAGATAATAGCTTCAAACAGGTGGGTACAGCAATTTCAAAAGAGGGTAGCAGAATTGCAGCGCGAAAGACCAGTTTCAGCACGAGCTGTAGAGAGCCTGGCTGGGACTTTGCTCTCTATGTCTGTAGCACCAGGGCCAAGGCAGGCTCCGCACAAGAGGAATGTACCGGTTTATCGAAAGCAGAAGCACATGGAATGCATTGACGTTTTTACCAAGCGATGTTGCTAAAGAAATCCGATTTTGGGCAAACACATTTGCCAAGCTGCATGGCAAGCCGATGTGGAAATCCGAGCCAGTAAAAGCAGTATCGACCTAGTCCGACGCTAGTGATAGTGGATGGGGCGGTTTTACCCTGTCAAAAGGTTTTGAAGCTGCTCGAGGGAATTGCGCCCCCCCCCCCCCAAGTTTGCAAATGAAACATGAGCTCCACATGGCGGCAACAGGAAATAGTGTTGTTAACCTATAGGATTTGCCAGCAGTATGGTATTCAGCTAGTGGCAGAATGGGTGCCGCATGAAGATAACAAACTTGCGGACTATTTTTCGAAAATTGTCCATGCCTGTTGTTTTTGAGTGGTTGGATGAAGAGTGGGGCCCACACACCCTAAACTGTTTTGCTAGTGTGAGCACAAGGAAAACTAATCGGTATTGTTCACGATGGTGGAACCCAGGCTGTGTTGCGGTAGATGCATTCATGTTTCCACGGGAGGGCGAGAATGTTTGGCTTACCCAATTTTTGTACCTGATTGGCAAAGTTATCACAATGGTGGAGTTCTATGAGAGTCATGCCACTCTGATCGTACCAATGTGGTTTTCTGCTGCATAGTGGCCATTGTTGTTCCGGGGCACTTCTTGGTGCTAATTTGTCAAAGAATGCGTTAACATCCCTTTAAGAGATGATACATTTCTGTAGGGCGTATGCCCGTGGATTTTGTTTGGAAAGGGAACACCGAAGTGTAAAGTGCTAGCCATACGTTAGTGCACAGTTGCACAGTGCAAATGCTGAGGCCACATTATGCTCATTTTGTGTTGGTGCTAATGTAACGGATTTCGTCGTGTATTGATTTACGCATGTCGTTGTATTTGGTTCTTGTCTTGTGGAGTCCAGTGTCTGATGTCATATATGGTCTAGGTGTACGCGCGAGTATGGTGTGATGTGTGACGTTTATGGTATGTGGTGCATGCAAGAGTACGCGTTGTCAGAGTATGACTGGGGATGTGCTTCCGTCTGTGTGAGAGTAACTGTCAAGTGAATGCTGTACATGCGCAGTGCTAGTTTGGTCTGGGAATGAGAGTCGTGTGTGATTCGTCCGTGGTCTGGTTGTCTTGGTCTTGGTCATGTGTTCTGTACGTATTAGTCCCTGATTGGTCGTCACGATTTGTCCTCGGTTTATTACTGCTTGTTCTTTGTTGATTCTTCGAGTATTTTCCCGGGAGTCTTCCCGTAAGCCTTTTTGTCCTCACCAAGTAACTTGGTGTTACTTTAGTTACTAAAGTTTGTCTCTCTCCTCCTGCGCCCTCGTCATTTCTTGGTATAATAATTATAAGAGTATTGAAGATACAATCAAGAGTTTGCGTTGTTGTGTGGCGAGGGCCAGGGGGAGAAGCATTTCCTTTACACTAATGTATATGTGCACAGGCCCGGATACCTAAAACCCCCGGTGTTCTGGAGTCCCTGCTGCTAGCGGCCAGCTCATTGAGCCATGGAGCACCTGTGTACCTTGGAATGATGATGACGTTGATGATGGTAGTCCTGACGGCGAGGATGATGATTCTGAGAAGACGATGATAGTGGCAACAACAGCAGCAGTGAGATGTCGATACGATGTACTCCTACTCAAAGATTGGGCTGTATTTGGATTCTCGCACTGAAATTGTATGTCTCGCTATGACACATCACCCGCAGATTGCCGTCAACACCTCCAGTGGCCAATGCACCTGTCATCGGAGATGTCGCTGTTGACTCAACAGCTACCAACCGTGTTAGAAGGCTCCAGAGCCCAGTCAACTGTCAAGAAGTACAAGACAAGTTTCACGCAGTGGCAGAGGTGGGCAAAATGTCAAGGTATTCAGTTCTCCCGGCAGATCCGCTGCATGTAGCATTGTGCCTAGTCAAGAAGATTGCCACTTCCAGTACACCAGTGCCAGTCTCTGCAGCGGTTCATGGAATCAGTTGGAAACATAACACCTATAGTCATCCTGATCCATGCCGAGTACCCATTCTGCAAAGGCTACATCAAGCAGCAAAGAGATTTTTCGCCACTCAGCGCAGGAGGACAGCCCCGCTGACACCGAAACTGCTCAAGAAGCTGAAGGTCTCACTGTCTACTGGAAAATTGCAGGATCTCCAAAACCTTGACACTCACAGTCCTGCCAAAAATAATATTCGCCCAAAATCTGACACCCTTTACCACGAAGGCTGGCCACATGGCGCAAATTCTTCTCTGCGATTTTTCCAGAAATTCAAAATATTGCCCAAAATACGAAGAAAATTCGCTTTGTTGCCATGGTACCCGATATGGCGCCCCGTTGTCATGAATTTTGTAATACATGAGTGTACTGTATTCACTAGGTAGGTTTAGTTCCCACGTAACAGAAACGCGTACGTGGGTGATACAAGTAAAGTGGATGAAGGGCACCTACGTTGCAATGTTGTGTTAGTCACACGGAACAAACAAAAGCATGAAGCGAAAGGCCCAAACCTGGTCAAAGAGGAAGCTAACCGGGCCTAAGAAGCTCATCGAATATTTTGATTTCGTGCTTCGGAAACATCTTCAGCTGAGCACCCTCACAGCTCGCTCAATGCGCTCTATTCTGATTTTCACCCACGTTCTGGCGGAACGTGGGTGAGCCTCCATACACGGTATGTCGTGAATCAGAAAACGTCTGTACGTGGGTCACTGATTGTCACGTGGAACACACACGTAAAGTACCCACGGATACGTGGGACTAAACCTCCCTGTTGCCAGCATTCTCGTGCATGTACCGTAAAGTACCGCCAGAGCGCCCCACCATCTCATCCTTTCGTGGTCGTATTGTGGAGGTGGTCTGCTGTCTGTAGGTCATACGACATGAACCTTGTACACATATTGCACGTTTTGTAGTCAATCCGTACCTTCGAGCGGACACAAGCTCCACACAAAACCCTGCCAAGCGTGACCTTAGTACACTAAGACTCTCACATCGTACAAACTTCGTTGCACTCTGCCATACGGTTTTCCTTTCTCAGGCTGTAAAATCAAAAGTACCGCGAGACGGGGCACTCTGGCGGTACTTTACGGTACTAGTAGTGTTACTACTTTGCACTTCCCCAGGCCAACGCTAGCCTTTTTAGAAGCATATGTACTGTGATTTGTGCCTTTAGTTGTGCTCGAAAGTGAAAATACAGGACTTCTGCAGAGGAAAGTACTGATCCCTGACAATTTTGGCTGCTTTTCGGACGTATCCTTTTCGGACCGGTTTTCGGAAGAGCCTTCAAAAATTGGACACTTTCCGAAAAATCGGATTTTTTGGCAGCACTGCACTCATTACATTAGGGTTTGCTGGGTTCCTCCGCGGGGATGATCTTTCTCATGTCCGAGTAGATGCCCTGTCCATTCATCGAGACTGTATGGCAGTTTTCCGGGAATGCAGAAAGAACGACCAGTTCCGGGAAGGTAACTGGGTGTTCATCAGCCGTTGGGAACAACACCTCTAACCAGTACAACTAGTTGAACAGTTTCTCGCCAGCGGTGATCACTCCATACTTGCCAACCCCTGGCAAAACAGTTTCCTTGACACAGCATGACGTGTTTCCTTGCTTTTGCCCATTTTTCCTTGATCTGCAATTTTTACATCATAATTGTGCAAAATATTGTTTATGACATCATTGTGGCGTCACCATGACCACAAAACATTCGTAAATAGTACAACATGTACGACAAAAAGTGCTTTTCCATGCGCTTACTCAAACGTTCTCGCCCGCTACACCTTCGTTTTGGGTACAGCACTGCGAGGGAGCGTCCAAAACACTGAAAATCAACAAAAAAAGGTGTTGACGGACATTTTCGAAAATCCGGTTGATGTTATAACTTTTCCGGTATACCGGGACGGAAGCGATTTTTCCTTGATTTTCCCGGAAATTCCGGTAGGGTTGGCAAGTATGTCACTCACCAAACTCGACATTGTTTGGCAGAGTCCGAACCCACCATGGGCGGAAGGTTATTCGGTCCCAAACGTCATACTCCAGAGCAAGGGATTTAGTACTGGCGGCCATGGCGGCAGTTGGAGAGGATCCTGACAAGTATGTGTACATAGCCTCCGTTCCGGGGGTGTCTCCGTGGCGGCTGCTGCAGGTATCCCAGACCGTCTAATTCAACGCCACGGAGGATGAAGGAGTGAGTCCGGTTTGAAGTCATATTTCTCGGAGTCCAAGCCTAACCTCCTAAGAGTCTCAAGTGCCATTGGGCAGGTGGTCATGTGAACAGCGGACATAATTATGATCATAATGTATATATGTATATCTTTCCTAGTTGCCTGGCATCCATGCTGATTCGTCTTGTAATGTCCTATACATGCTCGGCTATGCTTTGTTGTCTTGCAATGTGGCTGTCCGCAGCCGATCCTGCACTGTGGTTTTGCTGTAGCAAATGTGAGGTGTGAGAGAGAAGTCTACGCTTGTGTAGACGCTGAGTATTCGAACGAGAAGCACTGTTCTCCCGAACTTCGAATACTTGCGATGCTGGTTTTATGTGTAATTTAATTTTGTCATTGCACGCAGTGCAGGTAGACGTCACTGTAGTGACGTAATCATTGTTGAGCGAGCGCCATGGAACAGCGCTTGCGCAAAAAGATTGTCCTTCTTTTTGTCTTGCTTGTCAAGGGCCCACCCGACCGCCCTATGTATTTATTTTGCTCTGAATGTGGTGGTTTCTTTGCTGTATCTTTCTGCACTGCTGATTTTATTAGTTCAAGTTGCTTATTTTTTTATTTGGGTGGTCATTCTGCAGTTGTTGTATCGTTTGCCTCAATTCTGGCAACCCTGTTTTTCCCTTGAAACAAGGCAATGTGGCTGTCCGAAGCCGACCCTGCTCTGTGGTTGTTGCTGTTTCCAATGTGAGGTGTGCGAGAGAACACAAACTCCAGGCAGTAGCGTGAGTCAGTGTCACCCATGCGCTGATGACCATGTCTGATAAAGCTTCTCATAACAACAGTATGGAATTGTTTTGTTGTTCTAACAGGGATAATTTGTGAAGATCCTGGTCAACCTACTAATGGTCGATATACACACAACGGATTTGAGTTTGGAAAGACTGTAAGATACACTTGTAAAACAGGTTATGAGATGCCACAAGGTACACTCACAGTTACATGTATAGGAACTGGACAATGGTCTCAAGCCAAGCCTACATGCCAACGTAAGTGTTATCAGTATGGTATACACCAGGGTTTTAGCCAAAGGGGGGTAGGGGGCGCAGCGCCCCCCTACTTCGTTTGCGCGCCCCCTGTGAAAAAGTGCCGCCCCCCTACTCATTTTCCGACTTTGTGTTTTTTCACTCCATTCAACGAAAATACAGTCGATAGTCACTACTAGAGGGTTCATAAAGGCACATTTGTGAGGGGTGAAGTCGGGGTTCACCCTGTATGTTGCATTTTGCATGGCAAGACAATTTTGGACAATGGAAAAAATCGGTCACGGGGTAACTTTTTTCCATGCCCCCCCCCCCCCTACTATATTGACCTGGCTAGAACCCTGGTATACACACATTCATACACTGTACACTGTACACTGTACATACATACCGTATCATCTCTATAGGGCTTGAAAGTGCTACGTCACAGCATAGCAATAATTTCAAAAATTCAAAAACTTGATCCACTTGGATCCAGTTTTTGTATGGATCCAAGCACATTTCAAGCCGTCTTACTCACAGCAAGGTGATGTAGCCAGTGAAACTGATTGATTTGGCTACTGGGGGCGGGGTTACAACTGGTGGCGAAGTAAAAGTCACCCCTGCATACGACATGAGTGGGTTGATATGCACCCACATACTGAGGCAATAGCAAAGTCACACCTTAGTGGATCCGAAATAGAAATCTAATGTCAACTTACTACTCCCTGGCCGTTTTTGATGTCATCACTTTCAAGCCCTATTACAAGCTCAGTCTCTTGTAGAAGCCCAGTCTCTATTTTAGCGCACTCCAAGAGGGCTTCGAAGACGTCACGCGAAATTACGCATCTATATAGCTATGAGCGACATCCACAGGACCACAGAACCTGCTGGGACAGTACGCGTGTACTCGAGTCTCATTCTGAGCACGTTTTTTCTTCCTTTTTCAGCTCATGCTGTGGTAAAAGTCTAGAATCCCCTAGATCTAAACTTCAGACTCAGTGTGGAGGACGACGACAACGAGCCCCAGACCCTGGACATCATTGCTGACGACAGCTGGCAATTAGTTGCACAGGAACCCCCCAGGGCCAAGAAAACAGTAATCTTTGTGGGCAACCTAGGTACAAACTGCTCTGAAGAGAGCATCGAAACTTTCGTGAAGCGGCGCGCTGAGGCAGTGGGATCAACGGCCAGTGTTCACAACAGCAGCATCCACACAACGCAGACGGGAAAGGTGTCAGCTAGGATTTGTATAGATGCCACAGACCTGAGCCTCGTGACAACTCCGGACTTCTGGCCAAGGCCACTATACGCCCGGCCATGGGAGTACCGAGACCGCCCGAAGCCCAATCGACAACACCCTGCCGGCGCTGCGAGAGGTGACCCTACACTGGATGGTGCTGACAGCGCTGACAGCGACAGCACGGCATCTGCTGGCACCCCGCAATGATCAGTGGAGCTCCGCCGCTCCGCTGGCTGGTGACCAACGCATTTGGCCTCACCAACAAGCTGGGAGAGCTGCAGCATGCACTGCTCAACGATAACGTCGACATAGCGGTTATCACAGAAACGAAGTTCTCGGCCCAGACCGTAGCCTCTGAGACAATATTTCCAGGATACTCGCCTCCCATCCGACGTGACCGGGATGCATTTGGTGGCGGCATTGCCGTATGGGTGAAGTCCGGCCTCCCAGTAGTGCACCTCGACCAGATTCCCACTGATGACCACGAAGTCCTCTGGCTCGCCGTGAGTCTTTCCACGCAACAATCTGTTGTTATCGGTGCCTTGTATCGGCCTGGATCCTGTGCGGACAACGACACCTGTCTGATTGAGTATCTTGGACCTGCACTAGACGTGGCCCGCACTCACGGCACTCACATAGTGCTAGCTGGGGATTTTAATGTCCATCACGAGACTTGGCTCTGCAGCAGCAAAACAACTGTAGCTGGAGAGGCCTTAGAAGAATTGTGTGCTGAGCATCAACTCCACCAGCATGTCTTGCAGCCGACTAGGGGTCTGAACACCCTGGACCTCATCCTCTCCAACATGCCCGTTCCTATCGACACCACTGTCAAAGCGCCACTTGGTCGCTCTGACCATGGGGTTGTTCTTGCCGACTTTTACCTCACCCCTGATGCTGAGCAAGCTACCTCCAGGACTGTCTGGCGCTACAATCAGGCAGACTGGGGGCGCCTGCGGGCCTTCTATCGCACTACAGTAAGATCGGGCGCCGAAGAACGCAGGGGCTCGAGCGCAGCCTAGGAAAGTTCTTAAAATTTTGATTCTAGCCAGACCGTTCTTATTCACACGCGCGCGGCGAGTCGAGTGACGTCATGACGTTTGTCATGTACATGTACATGTAGTGCAATGTAGTACTTCTAAACTAGTGGGTGTCGTAAATGGGAATGACTGTACATGTCGCAGTTACTGTTTACACGTGTACATGACATGTACTCACCTCCCATACATGTACAATGTAGATCTACGTGTAAATTCGCAACTTCGTGTAAGTACATGTATGAAAATTTTAAAAGTGTTCTTAAATCTGATAATTCTAGCCTGGACTGTTCTTAAATTTTGCCGGTTTTCCAGCCTGGGTGTTCTTCGGCGAGGTGTTCTTCGGCGCCCGATCTTACTGTACTGACTGGTCCACCATTGTGACTGACGACCCTGAAGAGTCCTGCAGGAAGCTAAGTGACGTCATCTCCAGTGGCATGCAGAAATTTATCCCCGCCAAGCAGCTTGTTACCCGCCCAGCAGACCCCAAATGGTGGACTCCTGAGTGCACCACAGCATTGAACACTAAAGACAAGGCATGGAAGGCCTGGAGACACAATATTTTCAGCGAAGCCCACAAGGCTTGCTTCATGCGCTCAGTAGAAGATGCTATCCTCGCGAATGTGCGAGCTCGCACATCCTGGGAACTGAGAGTTCGTCGGAAACTGTCACGCGGAGGCCTGAAAGACAAGCAATGGTGGTCGGTGCTCAAATCTGCTGCTGGCGCCAGTCATGGCTCGTCTATACCATGCTTGGTAGATGACGCTGGTCACCAACTCCGTATGAATGCTGCCAAAGCGAACTGCCTTGGTCGCTACTTCGCCAATAAATGTAGCCTTGGAGATGATGACTTGGGCCCGGGGGATCTCCCTCATGTTCGCCAACCCGGGGTCACCCCACTTAGCCGAATCCACTTCCGCCTGCAAACAGTGAAACGCCTCCTGAACCAGCTCGACGTTGGCAAGGCGTCCGGTCCGGACAACATCCCTGCCCGAGTGCTCAAAGAGTGCTCCCATGAACTTGCATCGCCTCTCACGTCTCTCTTCGCCCTGTGCTTCCGTAAGGGTGTCCAGCCAGAGGCCTGGAAGAGTGCTCGAGTTGTGCCAGTCTACAAAAAGGGCAGCCTATCCAACCCTAAGAATTACCGCCCAGTCTCCCTCCTCCCCATCATCTCCAAAGTGATGGAGCGTATTGTGAACTGTCAAATTGTGAATCACCTTGAAAAACATCATCTCTTGTCAACCAAGCAGTACGGATTTCGCAGTGGCCTTGGAACAGCGGACCTACTAGCAGTGCTTGGGCATGATTGGTCGCTGGCAGCTGGTTCTGGTGGCTGTGCCCACGTCCTGGCTGTCGACATTGCTGGTGCGTTTGACCGCGTGTCGCACCCCGGCGTCCTACACAAAGCGGCCACTCTCGGTATTGGCGGTAGCCTGCTGCAGTGGCTACGGGACTATTTGCGGAATCGCACACTAAGCGCAATCGTCAATGGACAGGAATCTGCTCAATTCCAGATTAAAGCTGGCGTACCCCAAGGCAGCATCCTGGGACCCACCTTATTCTTGATGTATGTCAACGATGCTGAGACCTGTCTTTCCCCATCAACACGAATGGGTGTGTACGCAGATGACACCACGCTGTACACCATCATACGATCCAGACATGACTCTGCTGGCAGTATTGCAGACATGCAATCTAGCCTGGATCGATTGAGTAGCTGGGGAGAACAATGGCGAATTCGCTTTGAGCCGACAAAGTCGCAGCTGCTGCATATTGGCCACCACCGCAACCCCTGGCCACTCCCAGACCTAACGTTCGGAGCCCATGATATTCCCTGTGGGGACGAGCTGAAGCTTCTGGGAGTGACCTTCGACAGCAAACTCACCTTCAGACGCCACCTCCGCAATGTTTCTCTTCGTGCCGTAGCCCGACTAGGATTTCTGCGTCGAGCATCAAGTTTCCTTGGTCGTGAAGGACGCTTGACAACGTACAGAGGCTTCGTACGCCCTGTACTCGAATACGCACCATTGACATGGATGGGCGCAGCCAACTCTCACCTGCAAAGTCTCGACCGAGTACAGCGGAAGGCCCTTGCTATCATTGGTCCTGACGCCTTGCTGCAGAGCCTAGCTGCCCGCCGCCAAGTGTACGCTCTCACGTACATGTACAAGCTAATGTGCCTTCAAGACCATCCAGATCTCTCTGCGCTCGTGCCGCCTCGCCAGGAAGCTAGCCTCGTCCCGCGGACAAGGTCGCAGCTCCGTGTCCGCCACCAGCATCAGCTACAAGCAGTGCTCCTCCCTACGGCCCCCAACTTTCTCCAGCGTTCGTTCCCATATGGTGTAGTGGATGAATGGAACAGGCTTCCGCAAGACATGTTTCCGGATCCGATGCCCCAGTTGAAGTCTCTCCAATCCTTCAAGGAGAAGGTCCATCGCCACTTGCGTCAAAAGAATTGGCTTTGGGCTACGGACTCCCTGTGAGGCTATGTCACCCGTCAATGAGCAACTACCCTCGTCCATCATCTCTTTCTTGTTTTATATTTATTTCTCTTCTCATCTCTTTCTTGTTTTATTTTATTTCTCTTCTCATCTCTTTCTTGTTTTATTTCTCTTCTCATCTCTTTCTTGTTTTATTTTATTTATTTATTTCTCTCTCTCTCTCTCTCTCTCTCTCTCTCTCTTCTCTCTCTCTCTCTCTCTCTCTCTCTCTCTCTCTCTCTCTCTCTCTCTCTCTCTCTCTCTCTCTCT